CACACACACACACGCACGCGCATACACATAATATACATCCAAAATTAAAATAATGAGAATAATGTCGCCGACGCAAATGACGTGATTTAATTTCTGGCAAATAAAAAAGATAGGTTTTAATTAAAAAATATATAATTTTAACTCGGCCAATTTGATAGTAAAATATCTCATAGTAATAATCTTACTTGTATGTATCAAAATTTTAAAACAAACCGTTGCTTTCGGTCTCTCTCTCTTTCTCTCTCTCTCTCTCTATATATATATATATATATAATATTTATTATCGATGACATTAAATTTTCTAATAAAAAAGGAGGATCAAGGCATTATTTATATCAAAATTGAATATCTTTTTTTCTCCACTCTGAAAATGATTTTAATATTTATTTTATTTTATTTTAATATGTTAGTTGTTCAGTTCATGTCCAACTGTTTATTTATATAATTAAAGGATCATGAAATGAAATGAAATGAGACAGACAATATAGGTGGAGTTGATATTTTCTTCCTGAAACAACCCAAATGGATGTTCTATTTTAAACAACGTTCAAAAGGGATGCTTCTCTTAAATGCAGCCACCCATATATATATATATATAATTCCTGATACATAATTTAAAACTTGGAAGAGCTTTCTTTTAAGAACACTAAAACTTTTCTAATTGATTAATTTTCATTTGACCGACAACTAAAAAAAAAAAAGAAAAATTTTGTCCTTTTTTTGTTTTTTGCTTCCTTTAACATTCAAGGAGTATGTATATTTATATCATAAATAAAATGACACAATTTGGTATTTAGATGACTATTCTCATCATAAATAATTTTTTTTTTATATTTTTTTATCATATTCTCAAAAATATTTTCGACTTACATATCTTCATGTTTAGCTAATAGAAAATATAACTACTAATAAATGTGTAACACCCAAATTCTTTTATTATTATTATTATTGGAATTATTTTTATTTTATTTTATTTTAATTTTTATAATTGATTTATTATGTAATAATTATATAGTTTTAAATTTAGTTTAATTTAATTAAATAGAAATAAAAATAATAATAATGATAAAAAGGGGTAAAATTATTTTTGAGATTTAATTGAAAATAATTTTGAAAAAAAAGGGATGAAAATTCAGATTATTGGAGTATTTTTTAAAAAAAAATCGAAAATCGGGGGTTAAAACGTAATTTAAAAAATTGCGCCACGTCAGCGGCCCCGGCCAACCAGGACACGCCGCGTGGCAGAGACGCTGACGCAGGAGGCCACGCGGAACGGAGCAACATGGGCGATCCGCGTGCGCGCGATCGGACGGCTGAGATACGTTCTCGCACGCACGAAAGGCCCAGATCAAAAGCGCGTGCGGACGACCAAGATTTCACACGTGCGGACGGCCCAGATCGCATCGCGATAGATGACTCAGATTCATTTATAATTTAATCGCGATCGAACGGTCCAGATTAAATCATGATGGATGGCTCAGATTAAAAGGAGAAAGTTATAAATAATCGCATCCACACCTAATCCCAAACCCTAGCCGCCAGAGCCCTCGCCGGAGAAGACAACCTAACCGCCGGGGGAACCGACCGCCACCATCCGCCGCCGCACCGGAGCACTTTTTGGTCACCAAACGAGGTAAAATTTCTCCTCTTGGCTCGGATTTCGATGTTGAACCCACTTGTGGCCAAATCAGAGTAAAACCACCGGCCAATTGGCCGAAAAATGCCGCTGAAGCCCAACGATGCCACTGCAGATTTTCTCAATTTTTGCCTCCGATGAGGCCCTTCCCGATTCCCGTTCGATGTAATTTTTACACCACTGTGACTATCGTTCTTTCTTCTACAGGTTGACCGAAGAAAAATGCCAAATCACGACTCGCGCCGGAGCAGCAACCGCACCTGAGAGCTCCGCTGCCAGTAAGTCTCGATTTTTTGTATTTTTTTGGTCCACCGAAGGCCCTACGTGTGTTTCCTCGCAGGAACTGGTTCTAATTTGGCTGAATTCGGCCAAAAACGGCCGAAAATAGCCAACTCGAGGTGGATCACTGCCGTGGGCGGCGGTGCCGTCGCCGGAGCACGGCGGAGCCGCCGTGTCGGAATTCTGAAATTGGCCAAGGAGGTGCTGGGTCTGATTTGGAGTTTTTTGGGGACATGTGCAGGTACTGGAAGTATGTTTCAGTTCCCGAAAAAAATTCAGGGAATCTAGGGACTGCCCATAGGCACAGTGAAAAACTGATTTTAGACTTCGAATCAAGTAATGATCTCAAACCATATTTCCTATCACGACATTAAAGCTTAATAAATGATAGAACGGTATTTTATGAATTAATAGATATGCATAATTAATTAAGGTTGCTAATGGGACCCGAATCTGATATATTTTCGGTCAGTTGCTGTTTTAGTTATTTTACAGTTTTAAAGGCATTATGGTGTCTGATCTATTTATTTTATAGTTTTGAATGCATGAATCACTGTTTACTTGACTACTGCTTGATTTTGTGAATCCGATGATATGCCTGCATTGTTGGATGCTCGTTATTGGTTTAAATATTCATGATTATGTGAGAAACAGAAAACTAAGAAAAAAATAGAAAAGGTATGTGAATTGATAAGTGGATAAATCGACAGTCTCACTAGATATCCTAGGAGATGGTAGATGGATCGGGTCTATAGAGAACCCTACCGGGAATGTTGCCTCTCATACCGTTCGGGGTATGGAGACTTTAAATATTTTGGCACTCATACCAGATGGGAAATGGGGACGACCCACTTCACTCTTATACCGGACGGGGTATTGAGGTTTATAGTTTTAGTGCCCATACCAAACGGGGTATGGGGATGGCCCTGGAGTTAAATTATTAAGGTGAATGGTTCACGTGTAACGGGGACCCCTATGGATCCCCATGGATACTGGTAGGCTGGTAAAAGATGAAATTTATTGTCTGATGATTGAAATATTAAAAGTATGACATGTGTTATGTTACAGAGTGCGTATGATTTTATGATATTATAATGTTATTGTTTTCATAAATTATTTTCATGAATCTCACCGAGGTAAGTGGACAGTAAAGGGTTTTATTATTGATAAATGAATTTGTTATAAATTATGCTCCATTGGTCGTTTTTATTTTCTACCAACCTTTACTTCTGTGACAGTAAGATAATGTGACATCTTTACTGGGCTAGTGTAACTCATTCCTTACTTAACCATTTCAGATCAGGAGGACTTGGTTCCCGAGCCCGTTCCGCAAGAAGACATCGAGTAGATGACTAAAGATTTTATAGTTCTCCTTATAGTATTCATTTCTAGTATTTACTTTAGTTAGTTTATTCTTTCATACGTTTAATACATTTTGGTTATCATATAAAGGATATTAATCATAATATTTTATTTCGCTTCCGGACTTATAATTTTGATATATACATTCCCTTTTAATTTTCGGGGCTGTTACAGAATGTGTAATTGAAATTCTTAGAGCTTTGCTTAAAAGTGTTTATTAAGACCTTGTCTAATAAAAGCTTGAGGAAAAGAAATCATGTGTAAAAGGAATAGAGGAAATAGAAACACCTATATCTTTGAATGGAAGTTATGCCCAAAGCACAAAATTACGAAATTCTCATTACATTGAAATAGAAGTAAATATTTAAAATCTTGAATTTAAACTTCTTTCTTTTTTTTAAGAATTCATCTAACTTGAGCACCAAATGCAGTTTGTTGAAATAATACCCAACATCTTTGTGTTTTTTTTTAAATAACAAAACTACATAGAGAGCTCTACAAATTTTACCACAACTATTATTACCCAATAAAGGGAAAAAATTTAAAATAAGCCATCAATGAGCTCATAAGGAGATCTTTTATAGACAAGCAAGAAGGATAAATAATTAGCATGACCAAGCACACCAAAATACTCCTTTTGATTCACTTTTATCCATGAAAATAATGGTTCAATCCCATTTGCTAAGATTGTACATGCCAACCATAGAGTTATACAATGGACAAAAAAGATATAATAAAGACTAAAAAAGAAGTTCAAATCTTTAATGTTTATCCACAAGGTACTAAGCATAATAATGTGCAACCCTTCAAAGCCACATACAAAAAGGTGGCCTTACAATGTTATATCAACTACTAATGGGTTCCATATCATTCTTTAATAAATTTTAAAACACATTCTTGGCTTAGTTTATTGGTAATATAAGAAAGTTGTAAATGTGTTATTCAAATAATAAACAAAGAAAAAAGTCTATGATCAACTAGGTACCTTAGTCTAGCCACGGAAGTACCGATATTGTTAGAGAAAATACAAATAAATGACCTTAGTTAATGGATTGAAACTATTCCCTTTATGGGTTTTCATAATAAAAAAGCATATGAATTTAATTTCTAATATCTTACTAAATGCAAAATAACTATGAAATAGTAAAGTTCCCTTTCTCTTAAATCGAGGTATGCAATACCTTATAGACAAGACAATCGACTCCCATTAGGGAGTAGTTGAAATGATTATTAGATATGTAAGTTCT